TTCGGATCCTGGGCATAGACCTAGCACCACTTGTCAAGCCATGCTATGGTGGCATGCCACATAAAGTAGAGGAAGATTGGCACAGATGTTAGCTCAGTGACAGTCTTCCTCAAGCAAAAAGAGGAGGACTGGCAACAGATGTTAGCTCAGGGCCAATCTTCCTCACACACGCAAAAAAAGCCAGAAGTGAAATTCTTTAAGAAAAATAATCATAATTATGTGAAACAAATAAGTATGTACCGATTAATGTCTATTGGAAAGAAATACATTCATAGACTAACAAGCACCTTTGAGGGGTGGGGTATGTATAAACTTTTTCTCTTGGTCTATTTTCCAAATGATCTTCAATGAGCAAGTTGTACAGGTAGTTTTCAATTTGCACAGTAATGTAGGACTATAAAAATGCATGTGCACACTGAAACCATGCAAAATGATATTAGCAATCAGTGGTAAAAATTCCAGTCATTCCATGACATTTAAAAATGTTTATCAAAACATTAAAACTGTCTTACTCTCACTTATAAATGCATAAAGAAATGAAAAAATGGTAAAACTAAAATTTATTTTGTACACCATACTTTAATCATTAGAAATATTGAGAATTGAAGTGTTTATTTCTTTGTGAAAACTTATCAAGTAATTTGAATACTGCTGGTCGTCTTCTTGTTGCGTAACTTACAACACAAAAAGAGCATCTCTTCCATGCCCTGGTGAATGTCCCTTCTTAATTCAAAGTTTGCATCAGCTTTCAACATTTTGATCTTAGTGCTTTCAATGTTGTGAAATATCACTGAGAGTTTCTAAACGTGAAGTTTTTGCCAGTGTCATTTTCTCTGGGCCATCTACATCCTTCTCGTCACGACCACTTTCCTCTTTTATGGATAAGTTTGCCTCCACTGAGCTCCTCTGGCTGCACTTCTAGAGTCTCTTGAACAGTGGCGGCATCAACAACTCCATCATACCATATTTCTCTGAAAACTCCATTTACGTTCAATGTAAGTTTCACTTACAGTGTCACTTTTCATTTCTTTGCTGCACTTTTATCTTTGTTGGCTGATTGCCTCTTTGTTCACTTTTATGAAATGTCATGTCAGTCTATCACCAGGAGACAAGGAGGCGACACAACCACACACTTTGCTGTCTGTGTGTGAACTGAACACAGATGCACAGGGACTAGTCACTGACAGACTGAGGAAGGGACATGGTGAGTCACGGCTGGGGGTGCACATCTGCTGTTCACGCAGTGAATTCACATGGCGATTTGTGGGCTGAAGAGCTAAGAGTGAAGCTTGTGCTTTATGCAGTCGCCCACAGTTAACATACCACAGGGACTCAAAATTGAATCATGTTGTTGAGGGACTGGTGTTATTTAACTAAAACATGGTAACTGAAACTTGTGTGCAGCAGAACCAGGCAAAGTGAGGACCGCCCGTACTTCAATATGGGAAGAACAAACTTTATTATAAGAGAAAATGATTCCTTGCTCCTTTTTTTGGTCATGGGCAGACTCAAGGACTAAACATAGACTCTTGAAGAGGACACACTGCTGGTTGATTTATGCCCCTGGAGACCTCATGGAACATTTCATAATGCTATTTTGTTCAGACTCCCTGTGAATATGTACATCTGGAGACGTATATATTTATGGAAGATGATAAATATTTTTTCTCCCCTACCTTATGTCTAAGTAGGTCATGTTGGCAATATTTTGAGTAGTTATTACATTTCAGCCAGTGTATTTCCAAGAGCATGTTGAACGTAGCTGTAGGATGCACATGGGTGGTGACAGTGAGTGTCTCCCAACTCAAAGTCCTGTAGATAGCATTGTTCTCTGAGAGCTAAACTAGGAAACTAGAACATCATAGATCAAAGCAGAGAAATGCAAAGTCAACTTAGAAATGTAATTTTAGAAGCCATTTGATGTTCTTAATAAGTGCAAAACAGATATAATTCAACAATTCTTCATGGTTTTTTAAATGAGAGGAAATTAGCAAAATATCAGTAAAAAGGAAATCCTTTAACAGAGTAAACACCTGCAGCAAATATCATTACTAATGTTGAAAATTTAGAAGAATTGCTATCAAAGCTAGCAATACAGCAAGCACACCCATTGCTGCTATGAACGTGGCTGCAACAACAGTGTGTTAAAGGTCTCAGCCAACACATTAAGAAAGGAAAAACAAGTAAGAGGAATAAGGATTCGAAAGGAAGCTATTACCATCATCATTTGCAGCCAAGAAGATCATCAGTAAAGAAAATATAGATTCAACAAATGATTACAACTAAAGGAAAAGTGTATCAAAGTTGCCAGCAATCAGATGGACATTTAAAACGTCCTAGCCAGGGGGCTGGCCCGGTGGCCGAGTGGTTAAGTTCGCGCGCTCCGCTGCAGGCGGCCCAGTGTTTCGTTGGTTCGAATCCTGGGCGCGGACATGGCACTGCTCATCAGACCATGCTGAGGCAGCGTCCCACATGCCACAACTAGAAGGACCCACAACGAAGAATATACAACCATGTACCGGGGCGCTTTGGGGAGAAAAAGGAAAAAATAAAAAAATCTTTAAAAAAAAAAAAAAAAAAAAAAAACGTCCTAGCCAGTAGAAATAGTCAATTAGAAAATGTAAGGAAGTGTTGATGATTCCTAAGCTGGAGGTAGCCGGAGTGAAGGTGTTCACATACATAAGCAACTATGTGGATACTTAGGGGACCAGAGGAGCCATGAATTCAGGGACAATGAGAACCACAGAGAACAATATCAGTGAGACCCCGGCAAACCCTATCTTGTGACACAGATATCTGACATGACAGTCAAATATTCCAAGCTTGTGAAACCAGTTAGTACCTGAAGCCATTACATTTCCTGACATATTATTAAATCACCTGAGGTCACCCCATTCCTTAAGATTTCAACAAATTTGTATCGTGTCCTTTGTTAGCAGTGCTCGGAAGTCCAGTGCTGCCTGACGATTTATCAGGTTCAACCAATGGTGGTTCACAGGCTGAGTCAGTTTTTGAGCCCATTAGCAAAAATCAGAGCTTTCCAGGAAGGCAGTCTTATCCAGGGCCCACACCGTCTCCTTTCCTTGAAAGTCGAGAACAAGATGCTCTTGGATTTCCCATGTATTACTTGCCACAAATCCCTTTGAGAGAATTTGATCATTGGAGCCATACCTCCTCTCCTCAGAAAAAAATGCACATTCATGAAAAGATTGCACATATTTCCAGGGGATTCACAGACCTGCTGAAACCTATCCAGGAGACCCCAGATTAAGCATCCTCGCTCTGCAGTACGTGCTACATCTTCTTTTAGATGCATCTACGCTCATCACAGTGGTTCAAAATAAGGAAGCCCTTCTGGTCGGCTGCCTGGGTTAGTAACTCAGCTTGGTCCTTAATCAGTCATGTGACCTTGATTACATTACTTAACCTGTTGGGGCCTCAGTTTTATCACTGGAATAGAAATCATAATAGCTCCTACCTCACTGAGCAATTCTGAGGATGAAATGAGACAAGGCAGGGACAGCTGTTTGCACGGTGCCTACCACATAATAAATGACCGATGAATGTTAGTTATTATTCTATTATTAACTATCCTGTGATGGCTTTGTCTTTATTTTGTTTTAGCTTTTTAAGATAAATATAATTTATAATCTATAACAGAGTTTTTCAGCCTCTACACTGTTGACTTTTGGGGCCAGACCATTCCTTGTTGTGAGGGCTGTCCAGTGCATTGAAGGATATTTAGCGGCATCCCTGGCCTCTATCTGCTAGATGCCAGAAGCATCCTTACAGTTGTGATGACCAGAAATGTCTCCAGACATTTACAATTGTCCCTCAGTGGGCAAAATCATCCCTGATTGAGAATCACTTCTCTACCCTGATGATATGGATATTTTGAGATTTTTTTAATGGCAAAGGCAAAAGTAATCATAGTATTTTAAATGTTACTATTGCTGATGAAAAGACAATGAGGCCAAGAAGTCTATACTCAAAATGAAGAAGGGCTCAGAATGAGGCAGAGAAAGTGATGGTGTGAAAGAGGACGGGGAAACACAAGGTTCAATCATGTACATGAGCAAAGGTGATTAATGTAAAACCCAGGGGACGTGAAAGATACAGAAAAAAATTGGCAACAGAAGGAGTAAACTGGAAACTCTTTCGGGAAAAAAATAGCTTAATCTGGAGAACGCACAACACGAATAACACCTGGAAGGAGTCAACAGAGACTGGATATGAAAAACAGAGAGAGGAAATGAGGAAAATGGTTCTGCGGAGTCCACGAGAGGTCGGCACCACTGAGTCAGGATAAAACAGAATAATTTGATGAGGAATTAAAGGGCAGAGCCAGGGGTTAAGAAATCCTTGGAATAGGACCAAGGCTGGTGTGGACTGGGACCCCCAAGTGTTAGCCTTTTGAAAGACTAAGATGGTATACTCATTCCTGAAACAAATTTAATATCTTGAGTGTATATAGTCCATATGCTGTCATAAAGTTGTTTTACAATCTGAATCAATGAGTTTATGGGGGCCCAAAGTCTCTCTGAAAACAGAGCAGCTCAGAGAAGTTAAACATCAGCCCTGCTCATAAGATGTGTAGTCTGCGAATGAGACATGCCCCCTTCCCTTGGGTACTGGCCGCACAACCTTAGTTGTCATTTCAATGTTGATGTTGGTAATAGGAAGCTACTGAGCACTTTCCATATGTTGGGCAAAATTTTTCTCTTGTCTTACCCATTTAACCCCCACAACAACCTTTTGAGGAACCAGCAATTATGACTCCCACTTTACAGATGACAAACCAAGGTTTTCAGAGGTAAATGCTTGCTCCAAGGCTGCCCAGCTAGAAGGCAAGGATTGAACACCCAGAGGTCTGTCTCTAACACTTGTTCTCTTCTGTGCTGTACTCTCTTGAGTACACATGGGAGGGGGAGGGTTCTGAATTCACCTCATCACTTCGACCCAATGTACTCACAGATTAAGAAAGCTTGAAAAATGTGTCTCTGCTCTTTCAAGCATTTATTATTATCACATTAATATTTCACTTTGTAACTGAATGGTGCCCTAAACATGTTAGTTGTGTCACTGAAGATGACAGAGGGTGGAGAAAGAGGGGAAAGATCCAGCTGGGGGAAAAGCGCTGTGGTTATCTACATCATCAGTCCATCCTATAATGATTGAAACCAATCCATAGAAGAATATGTATTGACTGCGTGCTTCACTCTATGCCAGGTATTCCCATGTAAATTAGTTTACTTCCACTAACATCTAAAATTTTGTTTCCAGGTTGGCATGATTATTCCCATTGTTCAGAGAGCAAACCAAGGTAACCCAGACATTGAGACAGGGAGCTAAGACTCAAACCAAGCTCAATCTGACTCCAAAGTCTAAGGTTCTTTCCATCAGATCAAAACAAACATTAAAATCAAGAATCCTATGCTCTGACATCTTTTCCATGTCTCCAAATTTTTTGCCGTGTGTGACCAATTAGCGCAGTTGGCTAGAACATGGTGCTAATGAGGCCAAGGTCAGGGGTTCAATTCCCCCATGGGCTGAAACTCGATGCTTCCTTCCTAGAGTCACAGGCTATGGCCTGCACCACAGCTGGTCACCTCCCAGGAGCATCGTATTGGTTCCGAGTGCAGTTGAGAAAGTCTTGCTGAATCACGGTAACTCCATCCGTGCTGTTGGATCAACTCAGGTCATACGCTGTACTGACGGTGTGACTACAGACAGAAATGAAGACCAACATTGTTATTAGTTGAGTAAATTAACAAGTTTGCCTATATTCTATAAATTTTAGCTGCACTCTTTATGTATTGATGAAGCTGTGACTTTATTTTTAAAAACTCACGTATATCAAGAGAGATGCTAAAATTTCAAGATGTTGAATGACAGCTGCTATACTACTCAATTACATAAACTCATACAGAATGAGTTATTTTGTGTATGTAAATTATGTTCAGATAATGGAAGCGTCTCTTTAGTACCAAGACATTTTCACATTAGAAATTTTGACGGAAAACTTTCTAAATGGAATTCACATTTTCCTGCTTTCTCAAATAAGAGAGATGGGACATAATTTATCCTAGATATCTGTTATGTACAAGAAATACGGTTTGAACAAAGTGACTTTTTATTAATTGAAAATAAAGGGATGGGCAAAGATAGACCAACAAGGAAAGTCAAAGTTAACACCAGACAAGGTGGAATTTAAGGTTAAAATAATAAAAGAAGGAAGAGGAATATAAAGTAATGCTAGAAGACATATTTTCCAAAGAAAATGCAATAATCATAAACCTATGTGCACCAAATAATATAACATCTTCACTGAGTCCCACAATTTTTGGCCTTCTTGCTATTTCTTGAACAAGCCAAAGCACTTCCTGACTCAGGGCTCTTGTGGCTACAGTTCCCTCTGCCTGGAACTCATTTCTTCCTGGGTTTGCATTCCCACCTTATTCAATTCTCTGCCCAAATATCACCCACCTAGTGAGGACTGACCATTCTATCTGATTTGTTACCTATTATCCTAAGACCTGGAGTAGTTCAATATCCGATCCCCTTTATATACACGTTATATACATGAGGTCTTATTGCTGTTGGAAAAATTAAAGATACCCTGAGCCCTGCCTCCAATTACCCTAAATTGCATTGGGTTTCTCAGAAGTGTCTTCTAACCTCAGAATTTTCTAAGCAAATGCATTTTTCATTACTAGCCAAGACTTTACAACTAAAACCTCGTAAAAGGAATAAGCCCACAGACTTTCCCTTGGCCTCTTTCCTCAATAGCTAATCCTGATTTTGGCTATTGATTGGCTGTTAAGTCATTACCACCCTAAGTATGAGAAGAGCCACAGAGAAATGAATGCAATGAAAAAATCATAGTTCTTTCTATATTACTTTCCACGGCAGTCGTAACAAATTACCACAAACTTGATGCCTTAAGACAACAGAAACTTATTCTGTCACAGTTCTGGAAGCCAAAAGTCTGAAATCTAGGTGTCAGCAGGGCCACACTCCCTCCAGAGGCCCAGGTGAGAATCCATTCCTTTACCTCGTCCAGCCTCTGGTGAGGCCAGCAGTTCCATGGCTTGTGGCCACGGAACTTGAATCTCTACCTCCATCTTCCCACTGGCTTCTCCTGTGTGTGTGTGTGTGTGTGTGTGTGCGTGTGCATGTGTGTCAAATTCCCTCTACCTCTCTCTTACAAGGACACTTGTGATAGCCCACAAGTGGATGATCCAGGATTATCTCCTCATCTCAAAATCCTTAATTTAATAACATCTCCAGAGATCCTTTTTCCAAATAAGGTAACATTTACAGCTTCCAGGAATTTGGACCTGATATCTTTGAGGCCACCATTCAGCCCATTACACTTTCTAACTCCAGGTGCCTATGTTGCCTCACTTTTCTCTTGAATTTTGTAGTGGTCTTCCAGTTTTTCCAATGGTAAAAGCTCCTTTATAAATGGTAGGCATTCCCAAGTTCATCCATGCATAAATGGCCATGTGGTGTTCTGGGCAAGAGAAGCAGGGGAAAAAAGTCAATGAAAGACAGAAGGATGATACTGAAAGAGTCAGCCCTGAAAGCACAAACTGTATCCCCCTAAAAATGCCTTTTTTTCATCACTTGCTCTTCCCACAAAAAACTCCAGTCTCGGTGTCATGGCCACACTATGGCCTTTTCTGATGTGAGAGATACAAAATATGAGAGAATCTCCTCTTCAGGATTGATCTACATAGGAAGAAGCCCTGAGATCCACAAGCAACTACTGCAAATCTTCTAACCAAGCCTGATACCATAGTCACCTGAGCCTGAATGCAGCCTCAGGATGCTGCTCAACACTGTGCTCTGAGAGCCACCCAATGCATCAAAATTTTCACAAGCAATGAAATGTCCTTGCCATACCTGTCTGGGAAATTATCTTCTGTGGGTGCCTAAATCTCCATACCATTTATTAATTCACTAATTCAACAGATATTTATAGACCACCAACTGTGTGCAAATATTATGTAAGTGCTAAAGATACAGTAAGGAGCAAAACAAGACTTAGTCCCTGCCCTCAAGGACTTCCCATCTAGGGCAGAAAGAGACCTTCCTTAAAGAGTAGCAAATGCCGATATAAGATTGCAACTGTGACAACTGCTTTGAACTTGAAACTGTGACAATCGCTCTGAACAGGTCCTCTGCAATGAAAGCCTATAATGAGGGATTTGAACAGCTCAGGAGGTCAAGAAATGATTCCCATAGCAAGTGATGCTCACGCAGAAACCTGAAGCATGAACAGGAATGCACCAGCTGGAGGTAACAAAGGGAGAGCACGTGCAACGTTCTGACACCAGGGGAAAGCACGGAGAGAGGAAGGGAGAGCGCAGCGGAAAGGAAGATGAAGCTGGAGAGACAAGTCTTCTTAGGCCACTTTAAAAGTCTTTGTTCAGTTGTGGTTTTACAACCTCAAGGGCACTGAGGAGCTCTGAGGTTTTGCACAGGAGAGCTGGCATGATTAGAGTTCTGTTTTGGGAAGACAACTCTTGACTCTCTCTGGAGAGTGGCTTGAGAGGGGGGCCGAGAGTGAAACTCTGGAGGTTCACAGAGTCCAAGAAGACAGCGATGGTGGTTTGGACTATAGAAGTGGTGGTGGTGCGTAAAGATGGAAAAATTAAATGGGTTTAGGAGATATCAAAATATAACATTGGCAGGACACTGTGAATTAGGTAGAGGGGTCAGGCAGAGAGAGGTATCAAGGATGAGCCCGGGCCTTCCAGGGTTCCTCCTAGGCGTCTTCCCCTTCATCGGGAGAGAACACTGAAGGAACACTTGGTTGGAGGCGTGGGGTGGTGGAGTTGTGTGATGAGGTTGATTATGGACATGTTGAGTTTAGAGATAACTCTGAAATCCCAGGTACCCCAGAGCTGATGACAAGGTGATTAAATACGAGTCTAGCACCCAAAAGAGCTCACAGGAAAGATCTAGTCTAGAGAAATTTATGTATGAGTCATCTGGGTTTAGGGAGTAATGAAGCTGGAGGCGGAAGAGGATCCTAGTTATGCAGGGCCTGGAGCTTATACAATCTGGAGACACTAATTAAGAACAGTAACACAGGAATACAAAATTAGGTGTAGAAGTGAATATGTATTTAGAATGAAAATAAGAAACCTCAACAAATTACCGATGTTAAAAAGTTAAAATACCAGAAGCATCACAAGATCCAGAAAAATAACATAACGGTTCTTATGAATTAGCTCCCTGATGCAACTCTCTAAGAAATGTGTTTCCCACATTTTGGGCTATATATGATTTGATAACCTTTTCATATAACAATAATTTTTTAATATCTTCCATAAAAGAGTAATGTAATTCAGACCTTTCTCTGACATGGCTAATTGAAATTGGTTTCATGTTATTGATAATTGGGATACATAAAATATGTGACTCCATATACAAATGTATTTGCCTTTATACTGCTGCTACAGGTTCAGGCCCTACAATCAAGAATTCTGATCAATTTTATTTGATATCACTTTAGAAAATAAAAAAAATGAGGGCCTGGCCTGGTGGTGTAGTGGTTAAGTTTGTGTGCTCTGCTTCTGTGGCCCAGAGTTCACAGGTCTGGATCTCAGGCAGGGACCTACACACCACTCACCAAGTCATGCTGTGGTGGCCTCCCACATACAAAAATAGAGGGAGATTGGCACAGATGTTAGCTCAGTGACAATCTTCCTCAAGCAAAAAGAGGAAGATTGGCAACAGATGTTAACTCAGGGCCAATCTTCCTCACCAAAAAATAATAATAATAATAATAAAATCATACAGTGCTTTTATAATTGTATACACTGTACTATCAAACGTATTTCAGTTAGGAAAGAAATTCTGTTTCATCATGGCATCAATGAGAAATTAATCTTCTGCTTCAATTTACACATTTGACGATTGGAAAACTTTTCCACAGACTAACTTCTGGCTCCACACATTTTAAGCCTTGCATCTCCTCCACTACACATGTGCATTGACTGCTGGGTGCCTAGGAAACACTCATCCCTGTAGAGCCTCTAGCCTATTCCTTTGTATCACCATGCTGGGGGAGATGGCAAAATGGGCATTAGGAATATTCTAGAAGCCATTCCTATACTATCACAACGAGCAGTAACTTAATTATATATATAGTGACCTAGAACCACATGTGTATATTCCACGAAACCCAAATTAAAACAATTCCCAGGTCTTTCTCTTAGCCATATCCAAAAACTTCCAGTAGCCACTTGCATTTGCAAATTGAACAAAAACACCTGGCCATGTGACTGTATTGCCATGGTGCCTCTCAAGTCCTTGGAGGGGCTGATGCCGGTGACTGAGAGGCCCTACAACTTTACCAGCTTCCCAGAAAATTCATCTCCCATTCTGAGTGTGCGTAATGTACCTCTAGGGGGCTCCCCTACTTTGGCACTGTTGACATTTCGGGCTTGATCATTCTTTGCTATGAGGGGCCATCCTGTGCACTGTAGGATGTTTGGCAGCATCCCTGGCCTCTACCCACTAGCTGCCAATAGTACCCCACCCCCACTCCAGTCATGATACCCAAAATGCCTCCAGATGTTGCCAGATATCTGCCAAGGGGCATCATTGCCCCCTGATGAAAACCACTGCTCTAGAGAAAGAGTTTGGAGAGAGAATACTTCATTTATTTAGTGAATGTTTTTTGAAATCCTACCTTGTTTAAAGCCAT